ACCTTCCCTATTCGCCAACCCCACCAACACCCCCACCAACACCCCCCCCAACACCCCCACCAACACCCCCACCAACACCCCCACCAACACCCCCACCAACACCCCCACCAACACCCCCACCAACACCCCCACCAACACCCCCACCCCGCCCCGACCAGATCCCGCACATCTTGAACGTGTCCAAATAAAAGTTTACACAAGCAGAATCAAACAAAACAAAAGGGCTCTAGTTTAAACTTGCCGGATTTGAAGTGCTCGCTCTTGTTTAACGTTTGGCGTCGGCGGATGGATGATGACGATTGCGGTGTTATTTTTTTATTTTTTTTGTCCTGTTTTGAGGCTGATGGGGGGGGGGGGGGCACAATAAGATGGACTCGGTTTGCTTTTTCAGAGCTCGCTATTTAAAAATGCTGAGTTTCAGGAGGACGAATAGGGGTGACCTTGGAGTTTCATCCCAGACATGAGTCTGATTTTACTGCAGCTCACGCTGAGCTGTATATTTGTGACTGTTTAACAGGAGTGCTTAGTGTAGCTATAATTTAAGCAGTATTATCACTGTGATTATCCCACTTTTGACTGTCTGTCCTCTCCTCCCTTTAAATAAAACAGATGGTGGTTCTCAGCTCCCCTGTACAGTTCTTAGCAGCTGAGTCTGCATCCCAACTTCCCAGTGACAAATCGAAACTCCGTAATCACTGTCAACGTTTGTGTGGTTGTTTATCCGATGGCGAGTCTGGCAGCTTTGAAGGTCACGCCCGTTTTCAAACTGGCACCTCCACCTGAGCGATGCAGTAAGTGGGCGATAACAGGACACTGTGTGGTCTACATGTAAACGCTTGAGGTCTTTGTCAGTGGTGAGTGTTTATAGAATCGCCGTCATGTCGTCATAGGAACCTGAGACATATCTGCATCTATGACATCACAATTCTGCCACTCAGCACTGCCACCCTAGAAATCAGAGGAGAGAAAAAAAAACACACATCCCAAAGAGGCGTGGTTGGACACACCGCGTAATTAGCCTTGTGTGTTCACGGTTCGAATCGCCTGAATGAATACCTTGGCAGGGCGTCAGTTAGCGGTGTGGATGAACACGAAAGGGTTGTTTAACAAGGCAGTGGAGTTCACGGGGTGTTGGCGGCGGGCATCTGCATGTAATTGCTGTGATGTTTCGCTGAGTGGAGCCCCAACGGCCAGACCAGGCTCCGTGCAGCGTCCTTAATGTGTGGTTTGGGGTGCAGCTCGGGGGGGTCCCAGGCGGCCTCTGTAAACTGAACTTAATGAAAGGTTAAAAACCAGCTCTATCCTTAGTGTTCAGCGATTCTGGAACGATTCAGCTGTTTATTTTTAATACGAAGCCACTTTAGAGGGTAATTAGGCTGATGCTCCACTTTGTGGCAAGAAAGTTTTAAATACAGTAGTCGATTTTTCTTATCGTCATTTTTCATCCTAAGCAGCACTGAGTAATCATTGTAATAATAATACTGAATGCAGATGGTGCCCCTAGTGTCCCATGTAAGCCATGCAGAGTTGTCATTGAGGGATGCCTTTTAACTTGGTCCTGACTTGATTTGTTACCCGTCTGATTTGTTGTACCGAATTACACCTGATATAAGCGAAATGCAAATTAGCCCAATTAGGCAGAAACCGGTTAAGCTTTAATGAAACTACGGGCACATGGGTTTGTGAGCCTTCTGATGTCATCGACTCATTCAGACCAGGGAAAGAATGAAAAGCCATGCAAAATTTCCCGGATTCCCAACCCGTTCTTCGTCACCCGTTGACGAAGACAGCAGCTGGCCCAATCAGGTGCCAGGTTTCCGGCACCGGCTCGACGCAGGCGGCGACAGCATGGGAATGTCGCCCCATTTGTGTTTCCGCATCATTGCCAATCATGGGAACACGCCCCGGTGGGGACTCCTGCCCCCTAGCGGGCAGCCAGCCACTTGCGCCCAAAGGTAAAATGACACTGAAAAGTAACTGTGGGAGTAAAGTCTACGCCTGGCCCCAGTGCTGCTTGATGCCTCCCATGTGTATAAACATATAATCATGTAAATAATTAATGGTTAGTAAATGACTACCGATTACTCGCGTGAGGTCTGGGATAACCACTAAGACAGTACTGGTGGAAAGAGGCAAAACAACTGGGCTCTTATTGGATAAAAGACAGCTGCATAACATTCCTTTGTAGTTTACTTGGTAACGCTTTGCATTAACTGCACCTTCATAATGCCTTCATTATGCATTCATAGAACATTCAGTGCACCTACGTAATGCATTTATAATGCATTCATAGAACATTCATAAGCAGCATGTAAGTATATCTTGACATGTCATAAAGCATAGCATTCATAAGATATGATTGCTGTAATATGCATTAACAAAAATTATATGATTATGATTTCATGTATATTATAGCATGGCATGAATGTTTACACAGATTACCCGATTGCAGGGATGTATACAGGGGCGGGGATATAGAGGCACCGGGCAAAGTTGAAAGCTGATTGGCCCCGGAGTGCCCAATCCCCTGTCATTTACTGATTCCTAACATATAATTGGCTAATAAGTTTGGCCCCTCTGTATGAATTATGGCTCAATTTAGAAAAGTGAATCCCCTGAGCAGGAGTGTGGGGGGTGATGGATGGTCCCACCCCTCTGAGAGTCCCCAGAGTGGGCCCAGACTCAGGGAGAGGCCATGGGGGGGGCCAAGGCTGCAGGGCCCGCTGCCCTTGCACCCTGGCGGTGACCGTGCCCACGGATGGACAGACAGGGGGCACACTGTTTCACAGTGGGGTGGGGGGCGTGACACAAAGGCTGGCATTCTCCCCCCTGCTTGATCTCCCCAAGACACTGCGCCTTCTTCCTGCACCCCCACGCCTTGCACACAGTTAACAAAATTAACTGTCAGAGGCCGCAGAATGTGGGCAGGTAGAGTCCCGCCCCCATATAAAAGGCACTGTACGGTGGGGGGCACTGTGAAAGATGTTCAGAGGCTGGGCAGACATGGTGCCTTTCACAGTGGACAGGGTGGGGGCAGGGGGTAGGGGGGCGCGAGGGGACCTGGGAGTTAATAAGCCTATTCATTGTGGTAGAAATCTCAATGAAGTCAGGGCTCAGTGGAGATCATAGGGCTGCTCCGAGACGTCCATGTTTTACGCCGGTATCCCGGTGACAGCGGTCGTAAAGGGTTTTATGGTCGCGTATAAAACGGCCCCTAAACGGCCCCAGAAGCCCGTTAAGCCGCCGGCGCTGGAGCTCAGACAGCCGTGCCACGCCACTCCTGTTTAGGGCCCAGGCACTAATCACCGCTGCTTCATCCTCACGGCGTGCCCTGCAGCCTTGGCGGGCCACCTTGGGAGAAGGGTGCTTTCTGATTGGCTGCAGTACAGCAGGTCCTCTGATTGGTCCGCTTCCCTGAACCGTTTTTGCTAATGGAGCTTGAAAACCCAGGTAAAATCTGCACTTATAAAATCCCTTTTGAAACTAGGGAGAATAGTTCTGTGTTCAGGTCTAATGACAGTTAATTATGGAGAATTGTGACTTTTATGCAAAGGTCCCGGGTCAGATTCCGGAATGGCAGCTGGTCGCCGTGCCCTCGGGCAGGATGCTGGGCGGAACAGCTCCACCGAATTCCGGCACACAAGCGTTTACACGACCGCGATGGTGGCGGATGAAAGCGGCGGCTAAACGGATAGATAAAAAGGAGGAGGATAAACAGCATGCCGGGCTGGAGGTGAATTCCCCGCGGGGTGTTTTAAGGTCAGCGCAAAGGCGTCTGCATGAGAGCCAGCCGTGCTTCCTCACGGGTGACAGGCAGGCTGAGCCGCTGGGTCTGGACCAGATCGCGACCCCCCCCCTGCCCGGCAGCCAGGCTCTGCGGCTCGCTGACATCCCCAGGAACACCTCGGCGCTCGCAGACTAAACAAAACATGCGTCCGCTTCCTCTGCGGCATCCCCCGCCGCTCTTATACATCAGCTGCAGCAGAGGAAGTCCCGCCCCCGCCAGCCGCTCTCCCGGCTTTGATTGGACCCTCTAGGCTTCCTCATCCCTGCCCTTAATGGGGCGTTTGACCCATCTGTCTGGGAATACCTCTGTAATCATACATAATAAGTACTTCGTGTGCTTGATTTTTGTTTAAGAATAACCTTAATTTGGATTTAGTTTATTCAGAAATTACTGTTATTTTCAAGATCAAAAGAACATTGCATGATGGGACATGAAATTTCTAGGGCATTAAATACAGTCTTTATATCAACTCCTGACACTAATGGCTAATCTGCTTTGGCCATAAACTAGTGGTTCTCTAACTGGTTGTATTATCTCAGACATCTAGGGAAATGAGTTCAAAGTAGGTTCCACCTGTGTGGGCGTGAAGCTCGATACTTCGCCCAGTGCCTCACTGGATTTCCTTTCTTCCCATCGTTTTAAGACATGATAAATTGAAAAATCTCATGCTGCCCACGGTGTGCAGCAGTGTGGCAGATGCTTTTCTCATAAACTTGAAACTTGAACGTCCCCGGAGTAGTAGGACCTTAAAGGTCTTGCTCATGGCTCCGGTGGTGATACAATTTCTCTGTGGGCGCAAAGTTTCTGGCACAGGACCTCAGCCCCCTGCCCACTCAGTTTTTGTTGGTCAGATGCCCCAACTGAACTCTGGGAGCTGCATGTCGGACATGCACTGTGATCTTGCCGATGGATGTCGTGATGAGTATCTCAGGAGGTTTCAGGTGCAAGCACGGCTTCTCGGTCCACAGAAAGGGAGCTTGAGTTGTTTTGCTCGGACAGTGTGTCGTGCCGCGGGCCGTCATGCGACTTCCCAGCATCCGTTCGTCCATATGCACGCCTGGGGTGGAGGGGGGGGCGGGGGGGGATTCTACAAATAAATAAGAATAAATACCAGCGATCAAGTGAACGCAAATACCTGCGTGAGATGGCCCCCTCACCCGGCGCTGTACACACCTCCCTAGCCTGCTAACTTCCACCGCTGTTCCCCCTGCAGATGTTGACGAGTGCCTGGACAACAATGGCGGCTGCCAGCAGATCTGCCTGAACACCATGGGCAGCTACGAGTGTCTGTGCAAGGAGGGCTTCTTCCTGAGCGACAACCAGCACACCTGCATCCATCGCTCTGATGGTGAGCCCCGTCTCAGCTCTGCCAGTTCGTGCCGTACAACTGGTCCCGCTGCTCTTTGCTGGCTGTCTTACAGCATGGCTCTGTAGCTGTGTTTGGTAATAGCAGGGTTCCTGACCAGTGTGCAGTGATGTCTGCCAGTGTTTGGTAATAGCAGGGTTCCTGACCAGTGTGCAGTAATGTGTGCCAGTGTTTGGTAATAGCAGGGTTCCTGACCAGTGTGCAGTGATGTGTGCCAGTGTTTGGTAATAACAGGGTTCCAGACCTGTGTGCAGTGATGCGTGCCAGTGTTTGGTACTAGCTGGGTTCCAGACTTGTGTGCAGTGATGTGTGCCAGTGTTTGGTACTAGCAGGGTTCCAGACCTGTGTGCAGTGATGTGTGCCAGTGTTTGGTACTAGCAGGGTTC